ATAGCAGGTTGTTTTTGGTGACTTTCACCTGCTCTGTGTTTTCCTATAACGTTGATCTCTGCAATGTGATTTCATTAGCTAGGTAAAATAAAATCGTTTTGGCATAGAAATCTCCACAAAAGTCTTTCTTTTTTCCTTAATCTTGCTGTGCCAAACAGGCTTGTTATGGGGCAACTTTATTCGCTTGGGCCTAATGTTAAAATTTGGGTTCAAACAAAATGAAACTTGGAAATTGCTTTCCTTCTTGTTTTTGTGTTTCTCTGGGAGGAAAGTACTTCAAAAATTCAATTGATAAACATCAAATACTCAGAATTCTCTACTAAGGAGACAGTTGTACCCCCGATATGCTAATTTTCTGAAAGCTCAGTTCTTTGACTTTCTAGGCTTCATTTTCACGCTGTGACAGATTTAAAGGTGAGGTTTGGTATTTGGGTACACACACACAAGTTTTTCTATTTAGCGAATAATAATAAAAATTGCAACTTGCCACTGAAATTTGATAAAAAAAACGTTCCTCACGCTGGTGCACCAGGAGAAAAATTGAGGTATCTTACTTCCTTGCTCCTTTTCTTCCTAGGGAAAAGGTTCTACTGAAACAGAACTTACACATCGCTCTGGAAGCGTTCTCTCCAGTGATATCATGAGCAGTACAAGAATTTGCCAGTACCATTTGTGGGAGCCGCGAAAGTGACCGAAATTGTTCATCAGCCAACCTAATATTAGTGTTAGAGTAAAACAAACCCTAACACCGAGATACCATACTTGGCTATCAAGTCATGATGAGTTAAGCATTAGTAGATGCATCTTCAAAAAATAAAGACCCGCTTTTTACTCGCAAGATTCCGAGCGAGATGACAATACCTTCCTCAAGGGTAATCAGTATCCATCTTACAAGGGAACGATCCCAACTTAAGGTGGCGAATTGGAATAAACCGCATACCATTAGATGCGTCTTGATGAGCTGATTCCAAATCTACCTTTCATATCTGCGACAACGTTATCTGGAAGAAGTTATGAAAGGTTAAAAATGTGAAGTAACGGGGGTTTTGGTGCATAATTCGCTTCAAAATCCAACTTGGAAGTGTAGGACTAGCATCATATTGAGTGTACTGATTTCACGAAATGCTCACATCAAAAGAAACGCAAATAAATGTATTTGAACAGCTAAAAAGCAACTAAAGTTCTTTGGTAAAAGGTATGAACAATGAAAAGTCCAAATTTGGCAAATATACAGCGCAATACCTCGACAATTAGTTGTTTAAAAACACTTATTTGTGTTTCTTTAGAGTGTGAGCATTCCTTGAAATCAGTACACTCAATATCATGCTAGTCCTAAACTCCAAAGTTGGATTTTGAAGCGAATTATGCACTAAAACCCCCGTTACTTCACGTTTTTAACCTTTCATAACTTCTTCCAGATAACGTTGTCGCAGATATGAAAGGTAGAGTTGGAATCAACTCATCAAGACGCATCTAATGATATGCGGCTCATTCCAATTCGCCACCTTAAGTTGGGATCGTTCCCTTGTTAGAGGCTAATATGCGATTTTCTTGCTCTTTCGTTGAACAGTTTCAAACAAACAGTTACGCTCAAATGCCATGCTTTATTGGCAAGCATAAACCAGAAAACTGTCCAGTACTGATGAATTTAATCACCTATTACAAATTTAAAAAAACGGTCGTAACTCACAAATTGCACTAGAAGGCTTTTCGCATATAATATGCACAGCCAAATCACACGAATAAACTTTGGAAAATTATAAACCCAAATTGCTTGACTTTCAAACTGAAACGTCTCCTTTTTCCAACATCGTTTCGGTACGAACTTCTGTTATACATTATCACGAAGGACAGAAGAATATCTTAGGCCTCGGGCATACTTCACGCGATTTTGATCGCGACGCGATCTGGCAGTCTGCCAGATGTTCTAAAATGCAATTTTTGCGGATTTCAGACTCGCGGCATATATGACTTTCGCAGGTTGGCAAAATGCCCTATCTTCTGTACATTCATAATGAGCTCATAATGAATTATAAACAATTGGAGCATTGCCAAATCGCGGCGCGACTGATATCGCGTGAAGTATGCCCGAGGCCTTACCAGATCAAAGAAACAAGTGAAAGCTGTAACAATGTGCCTAATTAATGGTTCACGTTATTTTCTAAATCTCTCTACGTCATTTCACCGTGTTTCATTTAGTAAAATGTTTATTAGGCATTATGACCTCACGGCGCTGAACTCCGATGCCTTGTCAACAACACCCATGAAATAAGTGACAGATGTTTTAAAGGATTATAAATTGCCTTCGGAAAACGTTGTAATATCATTTCCATTGCATCAGGAGTGCTCTGCTTCTGAATACTGCTGCAAAGACATAAAATTAGCATTTTGTAACATTCTTGTAAGCGAGATGGAACAAATGTTAGGCAAATTGTTGTAACGGTAGATCAAGTAAGTATTTTTCCTAAGCGGCTACATAATGGTATAGGAAAAAAATGCTTTCTTTTACACTCTACCGTCATATGAAATCTAGTCGCCTGCCTTTCTCGATCACTTTGTTTCCGATAGAAAGAAGTATCATCTACTCTATGACTAAGAGACGCGAGGCCGCATTGCGGACATTGACTTAACAACTTTGAGTTTGTTCTTCCCTGTTTCTAAAGAGTGATTAAACCTGCACGAGATAAATGACAAGTATAAACCTGCTAGGCACACGATTAGGCTTGTTTAGACAACATGTGCAATGCGGTCTCGCGTCTCCTGGTCATAGAATGAATGATAGCAAAAGCGCGGAGCCGTGCTTGAACTCGAAAGGAACACACGTCACTTTTTAGATTAAGTACTACAAACTTTCATCATCATACATCTGCGCTGTTGACAAAACGTCGTGCCCTTCCTCTAACCATTTTTTGAGTTATGCGAGTACCACACGAAAGGTGTTCAGGCATCAGGTCCTTTGCCTCCCAGTCCGGGTGTCCTTCTTTTTATGAATGCACTAATTAGGGTACGGACTTCAGCTTTTCTCACTTATGTTTCCTATTTTTTGTCACGTTGTGAAAAAAACTGACTTTCATTAAGCTGAGTAATTACTCTTTCAACTTTGTTAAGCTCATTGTTACGTAAGCGGTGCCATATTAAGAATGTTGGGAACATTCAATCGCAAAACTTAGTCAAATGTTACTCCATTAATTATTTTTTCTGTTTTTGACATAAAAATTGCTTACGCAACTCTCAGCAGTATATCAAGGAAATCATTATCAAAACAGTATAATGAAGTAGTCAAATCATCTCATAATGGAAAGGTGATATTCTTCGTTAGATCAGTTGTTGTTGCTTTCCTCTATAGAGTGCGGTACTTTTTACAGTTATGAAAGATTTTTACTAAAGGAATAATGATTTTGTTTATCTTATTAACCCATTGACGACGACGCCTAATTTTGCATGGCACCTCTTAAGACGACGCGATTTTGCACAACACTTCCGGCGTAAAAAAGTTTTTTGATTATTTACGAGACGTAAAGTTGTTTTGTAAACAACCACATACATCTTCTTGGACGACGAAGCCTAGCTGCAAAAGTGCAAAAAATTGGAAGAAATACTGAACTGTGGAAAAAATACTAGACCTGGAAAGCATATGATTTTGCAAGGGCTGTAGACCACCGGTGGTCCACATCGTCCCTGGCGGCAAAAAGTGCGTTGGCCACCGGTGGTCCGCATCAGTGGGTTAAAGTAGCACAAATCAATAATTTTTGTTCGAAGAATGATTGCCGGTAGCAAAAACTTTCTCATGATGTATGTTCTCTGTATTCGCGGATATTGAGCACTACAATTACTGACAAGTAGCAATTCTCCTCAGCTTGCTGCGTGGTTCTTACAACTAGTTAAGATAGGAGTGGAGAAAATGTTGGCATTTTCTTCTGACTAGGATTTATGTCTATGGCCTTTGGTCATAAAAGGTTTATGGATACTGAAATGTGCTTTTTTTTTGCAATATTGTAATACCAGTAATACCTTTCATTTATTAGCAAAGGCAGTGTTATGACATTCTTGCAAATATGCTTCTGATCTCTTTCATAAATGCTACGACACTCGTACATTTTATCATTCACTACTAAATTCATCTTCCTTGTGATGATATATTAGGGTGATAAGTAAAAAATGGGGCAGCTTGTATTTTTATTAAATTTCCAGATTTTTTGTTTCGATCAACAATAAGCAGGCTACAACTTAAACGTCGTTTACATAACCGACCTTCGCCTATTATTCTTGCACCGCGTTACCGCTTCTCTCTCATAAGCGTACGCGTGGCGCCGTGAAGAACTCAGACAGGGTTTTCGGAACAATTCTCAATCTTGCGCTGCTATACCGTAAATAAAGCAGATTACATACCATTCCAAAGAGCTCTTCATGTTCTTTCAAACGATATGTTAAATGCATGAGATTTCGTTTCAATTTCAAAAAAAAAAGCGAAAAACCTGAAAAATAGCTATTTTTGGCGTAATAAAAAACCAAAAAATCATGTTTCGCCTCATATTTTCCGAAGATAGATAAAATCTTAGGTACGTTGCATATGGATGGGTAGAGCGTAAAAAGCTCTATCAGATGTTACCTAGTAAACATGCGTTCACCTGCAAAGAATTGAATAATGCGCATCTTTGTTCTCGAAGCTGCTAATGGCCATATCTCCTGACTTTGAAAGTTGATCCACTCCAGCAACGATACTTTGGGTGGTCTCACATGTTTCATTGCGCAGATACTGCCCGAAGTTTATAATTTGTCAAAGTAACTAAATTTGCATCTCAGCCACTATAAAAATTTTAGGTATGTAAATGACCTTATATAGGTTTATTCTGAAAGAGGATAATTTATTCTAACATCTATCAAAATTGGGAAGTTTGATCACTTTTCCTGTTTGAGAAATCTACAGCTATTCTCTAGGTGCCCCATTTTTTACCGATCACCCCTAATAGAAACGTAGCAATATAACATTTCCATTTTCAGATAATGAGCAGTCTGCGGCTTCTGACTTTATGTTTGGTTCTAGCTGTATCTGAAATTGCAGTCGTTAACGCACGATATGAAGGAATTCCATACATAAGGTTAGTTTTCAACTTCTGCAATGAAAACGGTGCTGCTCCCAGCTGCACATAGAATGAGAAACAAACATAGAGTAATTATCTCTTTTGATGTGTAATGGTTATCTGGGTATTTTTTTCCGGAATATTCCAGAAATAGCGCATTTGGGCTCTTTTTTATAGCGCTTAGTTACTCTTTGGCGAAACACATCTGGCTCGTGACTTGGCTTGCAGAGTTCTAAAAGTTCTCACGCAATTCAAAAATGTCTCATTTTCCAATCACTTCAGAGAGAAGATAGCAGTCCTCATGTAAATTCTATCAAATGATAAAATCGAGATAGGAAATTAGTGTAATATCATCTTGGGTATATCCTTATCATCGACTTGGATTTTTTAGGAGCTGGTGCTGTCAAAAAATGTCACATAAAGGCTTCTGCTGATATATGAATTCGTAAAAAAAAGTAGGGCAATCATAATTTGAGACGTAAACGTCTTGAGCAATGTTACGCAGTTTTTTAAAAAATTTCGCAGACGATTCCAATCTCATTGAAATCGCTGTCGTCTTGTCAGTTATATCAGCTTACAACAACCTTCTATACATGACCATATCCTCAGTGGTCTAGTCAACCATATTCATGGTTTGATACGGTGTTCTTTTGGTGATTTACTACTAAAATCAATTTATTTCAATAATCTCACCAAAAATGGCCTGTAAATTCTATGAGCAGTGGAAAGAATACGAGCGCAAATTGCTATAATCTTCTTCTAATGAAAGGGAAAGGAGTAATTTAACGCAAATTACACCGATTTAAAAAATATGTAAGAAAACTGCTGCTGAAAGCTGGAGTAAAATTCTCACTAGAGAGTGAAAGGGGACAGGGTATAGAACTGCTCCAGTGAACAGTGGGAGACACAAATTCATCACCGAAAAGCAAGTGAAGTGCGTGAAAAAGTTATTTTTGGGATGTCATGTAACCTTTGCTTCAACTGGATTGGCTGCTGGAAGGCGGGGCTTTGTGATCTGATTAAGGCCTCTCGCGCCCGCGACGCAGTCTTCGTCTCTCTCCTGCGCCTGTTCTCTGATCATTCTTTAGCCTTAATTAGGTCACAAAGCCCCGAATTCCGCTCGCCAATCTAAATCAAAGTTTAACTTTTCAGTGATCCAGTCGAACTACTCATGCGTGACAGCTATTCATCACTAAGGAACCTTCGTGATCATGGTCCCTACAAGAGGCCTTACCGACACGTAAATAGGTTTGATACCGTTTATGAAATGCCATAATAAACCTTCTTCAGATCCAGAAGCGACGATTCTCAGCATTTCCATCGTTTTACAGCGATACATGGGGGTTTGATAGCAACACATTGGAACGAAGACACAACTCTTTACCGTACACAAACCTTCTCTTTGGAGGACGGTAAAATATGAGCTATGACACTTGTTAACAACCTTTCCGGGGCAGTAGTAACGGTATCGGTCCTGCTTCTGTAGTGTTGATGAAACTTACCTTATACCTGCGTTTCGCGTGTATTGCTACTAGTATTTTATTTTAGGTCCTTATGCAGTATTGTTGAAACCGTGTATTCTTCTATCATTCATTGCTTATTTCTGTTTGAAACTGCTAATAAACTTTGACAGAAACAATACATTACTTACTTAAGATAGAACCTTATGTAAAATCTCTAACTTACACTAGAAATAATCAATTCTTCAATTCCTTAGCGAGGCTCTAAAAGTATCTATGCGCAGGTATGCTCTTCTATGCGAAAGTGATAATTCTTTGCGGGAAACTATGATCCTTTGAGCCACTAGTGCAATGCTTTGCGTTAGCAGAGTGGACTTTATCTAGTCCTTTGGTGTACTTTGCATCTTACAAAACTGAGATCGCAGTAACATTTTGCTCAACTACGAAAGATAACCTTGCATATTCCTTTTTGTTTCTAATTCTCGTTTCTCTAAAACTCGAAAATCTCCAGCTGAATATAGGATAAAGTTTTCGATTACAAGGACTGCCCATCTTTGCTCTCGCCCCACCCCATTGGCACATAATTCTGACAATTACCTACTGCTGAGTGGATCCCTCGATTGTGGAAGCACACCTCCGTGACACCCCATCCAATTTAGTGATGGCAATGGCATCAATCAAGTTTCCAAGTAGATTTTATTGCTAACAAGGGAAGAATACTGACTTAAGTGAAGACTTGTTGTATGTCACTAAATGTGCCCTAAACAATTATTTCAAACCTTCTTTCCTTTTTTGCTGAAGACCTCCTCGAAAGAAGTTATATGTGTTTGAAAGTTGAAAAATATCAGGCCTTGTGTGGCAAAAAGTTAGCGAAAAGCTCTACAACATCCAAGAAGCTTCCCACTGGCTGTGTTCCCTGTTGTAGTCAATGTACAGTGCGTTTCATAACTATACGGCACCCCCCGACATTTTGGATTTCCGGATTTGCGGAAGAGATCGAATACTCCGGTCAGTGCCTGTGTGACCCACATATCCTTATATATAAAGAATCGTAAGCGCAATTTCAAAAGTGCACATAGCGGGAAACCACGTGGCGGTCCCGTAGCGCGCGCATGCTACTAGCACCTTCAATTGCTTGTTCACTATTGGTACTGAATAAAATGGCATCTCAATCAATATGTCTACTCACTTGCTTTTCTACATGTAGAGACATGTGTATTCTTCCACTGTTTCATGAATTATACGACACCTTAAAGCAAGTTGCTCTTTCCAAGGAAAAGAATACGCAAAATGTGGCTTTCATAAATAATCGGGCTACTACCGGCTCTTTACCATTTCATCAAGTTTACTGGACATGCTCCTAACAAATTCAAGCATGTCTTTGGTTCGGTGTTGTACATGCGTCCATAACAAACTCCAACTTTTCCAATGCCTCATACTGCTTGTATGTGCTCAGAAACGCTGTGCTAGTAATCTTACCACCGTTCCGCAGCAACGCGAGCAGCTTCTGTAAGGATGATCATATTGTCTAGTCCCAAATCTTTCAGAAAATCTCTGGAGATTACTGGCACATCGGATACAAGCAGTATAAGGCGTTGGAAAAATTGGAGCAGTTCGTAATGGACGCATGTGACAATACTGAACCGAAGACATGGTTGAATTTGTTAGAAGCATGTCCAATAGACTTGATAAAGTGGTAAAAGAGCCCGGTAGCCCGATTCTTTATGAAAATGCTATTTTGCGTTTTGTTTTCTTTGGAAAGAGCACCTTGCTTGAAGGTGTTGTATAGTTATCAAACAGGAAGAATAGACATATCTCTACATATAGAAAAGCAAGTGAGCAGACATATTGATTGAGATGCTATTTTATTCAGAACCATATGTGGGTCACACAGGCACTGACTGGAGTACTCGATCTCTTCCGCAAATCCGAATATCTAAAATTTCGAGGAGTGTCGTATAGTTATGTAACGCACCGTACTTACTACAGAAATGATTACCCAATTTTAGGTATCACAGCTTTTCGCCAACTTTATACCATTCAAGGGTCGAAAGTTTTGGACATTCAAACGTCAACTCCTGAGTTGTACCGCAAAAAGGAAAGCAGATTTGTACTCAGCGTCTGAAAATCCGCTAGTGGTCTACCGTCTTCAGTTTCAAATTGAAGGCAGCGTCCCGGCAGAAGAGTGGAGGACCATTTGTCGCAGAATGTAATATCTACTGCATGGCGAAGGCGGTTGCCCGAATAGCTTGAAGCCTGTCGCGCAAGCGGCGCGCGGTTAATTGTCAGCCATGGAGCGCGCGCACGCTCGGTCAGCGGCTGGCTGTCGTGCCGCCGCGCCCCGTGGATGACCGCTGACCGAGCGTGCGCGTGCTCCATGGCTGGCAATTGCCCGCGCGCCGCGTGCGCGACAGGCTTCAACCTATTTGGGCAACCGCCTTCGTCATGCAGTAGATATTAGAAGGGTTTCGCGCGGACTTCTCGTAAAAACGCACCTTCATATATGCGAAAGGGTGCGCACTTGTTGCAGGTGGCCGAGTGGAACGCCCCATTTCGGCGAAGTATAGTCCTCGGCAAAATTTCGTTTTCCAGTTTTTCACCTCTTCGGACATATCGCCATGAGGAATCCATATCTGACCTTTCAGCGCATAACTGGCGAAGATGAGCATTTCCGTTTCTAGGTCCGCAATCAGTGAAGATATGCCGGAAGTCTTCCGCGCCCGCCCGCTTGCACTTATTCTACACTGAGTACTAACCTGAAAAGCTTTAGAAAAGCTTTTTCGCCCTTTTCATGCGTTGAAAAGCCCAGAAATAGATTCCTCGCGAGAAGGCTCCGAGAAGGAGAAAATCTGGAAAAGGGTATTCTTCCCAGAACGCAAACCACGCAACGACCATCCACAAAAATCTTCATGTGTGTTTTCTACTTCACATGAGTTGTACGCGTAGGTAATGTCAAGATGAATGCTCTAGTGAAAGCTCACATTTCTTGTCGCGAAAATTCGCTGTAATCACATGCGAAACATTAGAAACATTTTGGATAACGCGCAAAAGCTCACTAGCAAGGAAGCATCGCTGGAGTGTTGCAAGCATTGGGTTGCATGGATCATGCCTACTACGTGTGTACGTTTTGGAGTATCAATGGTTACTCAGAAGAAAGATCCTTGAAAGATTGCTCTTTCAAAGTTCTTCCTTTGTATTCCTTCGTTTATTGCAAGATTATTTCTTAACGAAGCCAATGCACAGGGCTAACGAAATCTGACTCAATTAACGGCAGCTTAACTGTATGCACTATCAGCGTACTCGATATGAATAGTCACACTTAGTCCACTTTGAATTCATTATAAACGGTAAAAGTTCCAGAAAAATGGCGCTGTGCGCATACATTTGAGAAGAATTTTGCTTTGAGGAAGCGTAAGCTGGTTGAATGCAGCAAGTCGTTATAGGATACAATATCATAACGAAATACCCTGTTTTGACGTAAAAAGATAGTTGGAGAACTTGTTATTCACTCAAGGTATCAAGTTTAAAGTGTACGAGCTAAAACCCAAAGTATGTTTATTGAGAGAGTGCTTGTTTGAAGTAGATTTTTTTCGGTAAAGACTTGAATAATCCAATATGTCAAGGCAGGATTGGCGTTCTAAAAGAGGACATGTTAGTATTAGGAAAGCAAAATTTTTTGCGACTAAAAAGATATGGTACCCCTACTAAGGTTCCACATCCACCGCGTTTTCCTGTTGATTCCATTGGCTCTAAAAAGCAATGATGCTTAACAGTTTAAGCAAGTTTGTAGATTTTTTCCAATTACCTTGTCTTTTTCTTTCAAAGGATCAATAACCTCTCCAAACATACTTTTTCCTTCAGTTTCCTCCTGCAAAGCAAAAATGGCGACTGAAGAATAAGTGCGGTTGCGCCAGAAGAAGCAAAGAAGCGAAGATCGAATTGGGTGATGAACATTGGGTTAACAGCTTTTTTACCATTCAAACTTCATTTTATGTCTCCTTTCAGATCCTCTCTCGTATACCAAGGTGATGTACGAGAAAGGATATGAAAAGAGGCAATCTAATGATCTAATCAAATGCCTTTTTAAACACTAACAAGGTAGGTCCGTTAGGTCGAAGTGGCCTTTTCACATGAAAATGACACCACTATAAAAAGCATCAAACACTGATTTCAAACCCGTCTTCGTTATCTGCCGAGCGCGTCTGGACGTCGAATTATGTGCGTTTTTTAAGTTAAAAAATGAATGCATAATTAGCACAAAATTCGTCAGAATAGGCTCAAATGGTCCAATGTTGATTATCAGAGCACTCCGGTTGAACAATACCTTCTGTCTTCTGTCCAAAATACTCATATTTCCTGATTTATTTAAGCGCTGAGAAGATCGTAAAATTTGATTTTACCTAGATTATCGCTCATTTTTCGCGCCAGGGAAATATTCTAACTTGGCATGCAGAGGCGCTCAGCAAATAATGAAATAAGATTTAGAATCAGCTTTCGATGCTCTTCAAAGTGGTGTAAGACTCATTTGGAAAGGCCATTTCGGCTAATCGGACCTCCATTGTGAGCTAACTATGGTTTTCTATGTACTTTAGAGTATAAAAATCGAGATTATCATCATAAGCTGAATTGACCTTCATCGGTACTACTGGCATAAGGAGAGTGAACGCTCGATCATCTGGTCCAGCGGATAGATATCCACCCTTAAACGATTTTATAGGATGGATTGTTACTTGGAAGTTAATATGCTTTCAGATTGATTTTCAAATTACTTACCATATGCTCATCACGCTCGTTTTTGACAGCACCGGCTTGTTGAGGTTTTTGATTAGCTTCTTTCGAGCCCAGCACTTCTGCTGAATCTCTAGACGCCGAAGCCTTCTGCTCCCCCGAGCAGTTTTCTTTGGAAATTATCTTCTGTTGTACTGAGTCATGTTCTTTTGAGAGTGGAGTTCTTTTTGGCGAAATTTCCTCTTCTTGTGTGGGTTGCTCTTCTTTCATTTTAGTAAAGTCAATGCTTTTCCGTCGTTTGGCAGCTAGCTTCTCTTTCGAACCTATGAACGAATCGTCACGACTTAAGGGATAGCTTTACAAATCCAACCACCGCCAATTCTTCCTTGATTTTTCTTATCACCTCCCTGCAATAAAACGCTCATAAATGAATTGAAGTGATTAGTAACCAACCTGTCTTCCCGCCGATTTCTTTTTCGAGCATGTCAAGCACACCTGGGTAGCGAGATACTGCAAATCAACACGAGATCAACATATCTTTTACCTTTGTAAAAATTATGAAGAAGCATATCGAGTATGTCATGGTAATGCTTAGCTCGAGTAACCGCATAATAAAGATCGAAACGAGAGAATGAGGTACACATCAAAAAAACTTCGAGCTGCTTACTTTTTTCATTCTATCGTGCGCCTACTCTATTCTAGTTCATTTCAATGTGGTCACTGCTATTCGTAGTTGGGCGATTCTTTTTGGTCCTCTTGGTTGGGACGATTATGATTTTGGTAATGCGCGATTCTGAACTGCTGCAAATGATACATTGTCGATTTGCAGCCTTATACCTTATATTGCAAAAGGAAGCCTCACATTAAAGCTCGCAAGGTTGGACCGTCTATACGTGAGGTACTTTGTATTGCTTTTTACATGTTGTTTTTGAATCGAAAATGATATCTTTTAGACAAAATCTAACAAAGAAAGTGCTATAATTGCTATGCAAACGCCAGAGCGTATGTACACATCCTTAAAAGCAGTGGTTCGAGGAAATTGCGACTGCGAGCTTGCCACACCCACATGGCCTTTTGGATGCAATGAGTCCAGTGCTGTGCTTCGAATGTCAAAAAAATGATTACGGCGCTTTCCTACTCTAGAGATAGCTGAACGGAATGGTCGAGCGATTCCCGCCAACATTGCAATTGGCTGCCTGAGCCGATCAACCAATTACCGCTAAAATGGGTGAAGTTACAGCACCCTGCAGCCAGTCGCTGTTTGTGGCAGGAATCCCTGGCCCATCCCCTCCAACTATCTCCACGGTAAGCGCAGTAAAAAGAGCTTTTCTGACTTTCCAAGCACAACACTGGACTCAGCGCATCCAGAAGATCATGCAGATTTGGAAAGCTCATAGTCGGTCCCCGGGAGGCGTGCAAGTGGTACCCGGGCAGCCGACTGCTTCCGCAGCCAGCCGCCAGAGCTGCCGGCAAAGTCGCTGCAGATGGTACAGTAATTACGCTCGTCGTCTAAAACTCTTGCCGAGAGGTTTTCTCGCACCTAGTCGCTCTGAGGTGCGAAGTCAGCCTCATGGAAGCGTGATATCCTCGATATCTATATTTTTTGAACAGCAAAAACTTCATGTTTTTGAGAAACATGCAAATAAACAAAGATAATCAGAGAAGGGTTTTTCTAGAAGAAAGTGATCACGAAATTAAATCACTTCAAAGACTGAAAGGAAGCAGAAGCTGAAAAAATTAGGAATTCTCAACTTCTAGAGATTTCTTCTCGCTTTTACGTCGAAGAATGGACGAGAACAATTACAGAAAAATGTCATGGATATAGCGGTAAAAAACACAATGTCTGTATTATTTTGAATAGCAGAGAAAAGCCATATTTCATTGAGAACCAGATAGTCGCATGCAAAACTACACCGGGAAATTTCCAAAAATTCACAAACAATTACAAAAATGGATGAATAGGAATTCAAACGTTTTTTCTGTTACAAATATTGAAATCAAAGTACAATAAGTATCAATTGACGCTGTAGTTTCAAGGATCCTTGATTTTCCAATGAAGAATTCTTAAAAAAACAAATTCATTTTTCCATGAACACTTCAGAATTCGAAATGCGGTCTTGTTGAAGGGTTATCATTTTATTATATTTTTATTTTGTTATATTGGTTATATTTTCATCTTTTATGATTGACCTACTCAACTTGAATGACCTAATTGGACTTATTTAGCTCGCTTAACACCACTATGATGAAATAGTCATTTTGATAGAAGTTTCTTATCCTTATATCCATGGCATTTTACTGTAATTGTCCCCTTCCGTTCTTCGAGGTAAAAGCGAGAAAAAATCTAGGAATTTGAGAAATTTCTGAACTTTTCAGCTTCTGCTACCTTTAAGCTTTTGAAGTGATATGTATTTGTCATCATATTCCTTTAAAAAGTCTCTCCCCTGTTTACCTTTGTTTATTTGCATGTTTCTCAAAAAACATGAATTTTCTGGCGTTCAAAATAATATAGATTTCGCACCTCAGAGCGACGAGGCGCGAGAAGAGCTTTCGGCAAGAGTTCTAGACGACCAGCGTAATTACTGTACCATCTGCAGCGGCTTTGCTGGCAGCTCTGGCGGCTGGCTGCGGCAGCAGTCGGCTGGCTGGGTACCACTTGCTACGCACCCTCGGTCCCCGGTTTACACCTTCAAACGCTTCATACAATTAAAAAGGAAAAAAAACCTTGCAGCGCTTCCATCTGTGTTGCCTGAAGTCAAAATGGAAGGAAAGTCACCTGACGAAGCTCACAAGGAAAACGTGCAAAGTGTCCAAAAAGCTTTGAAGGGCGACAACTTGAAAGGTTCGGAGCAGAAAGAGGTAAAGGATGAAGGAAAAGAATTTATGATCTACGGTTTGAACGACGGGAAGAAAGAATCAGACTATGAAGATCATGTCAGCATCGTCTCATTGTTTTTGACCATCATACTATGTCAAATTTAGATCGCAAAGATCGAACCGACGCAAGTTTCGTCAAGACTTATGCAGGAGACACAAGCTTCATCCAAGCACCTACAAGCGACACAAGATTCAGTTTGAACATAAGGGTACCAATGCAAAGTGTTAATTTCAAACTATTCAAAGACAAGCTATATTACAAATACACTTTTCTGAATATTTCACACTACTGCACATGTACTTCGTCGTACGCATGCTACAGCAGATTGTAAATGCAAATAAATACAGAATAAACTTTAATAGAAGTTGTAAAGAACAAACTTTTTCCTTAAAACAATGCACATTCATTAGCTACTGGAGATCTCGACTTATGACGATAGAATGTTGATGTGACTGAGCTTGGAAAGGTTTCCATAACATGCTGCAATTTCACAAACTATGTACTCGTCAGAATTAAGATGACTGTGAAAACACCGTGAGACGGTCTTTTCGCACGGGCGGGTTTAGCCCTACCCTGATTTTGACTGTCTCAACACGTCATACACGCCGCAACTCTTTCCTCTCATAGCTTTGCTTAGGCAAAAGCCACCGCAGGGTGTGTCGGACGCGACGGCGGTCCTGCCGCGGAAAGCATTACGGTCGGTGCAAAAAGCCCTACTCCCGAAAACACCATTTTTTTAATTCTAAACGAACTCAGAAGCAGTATTCGGGCAAGGATGGTGGTTTAGAGAGTTTAATATTCTACAAAATAAGCGTCGTCGATCCATGTCAAGCGCAGTTGCGAGGCCACAACTTTCAATTTGAAGCGAGAAATTAGCTCAGAAATCGAGATACTCCCCAGTAGTTCGCTAAGTTCGCTACTCTGTTATTCTTTTCCTGGACGCATGCTGCTACGAACAAGATCAGGTCCTGACTCAACTTTGCCTCCCCGAGTAGCGAGAACAATCTACTCGTTTTACTTTGGAATAAACTGCTTTTGAAAATGCAGTACACCTCGAGCCTTACAACCGGATCGCGCAGTCCTTCAGACATATCTACTTCAAATTAGACATTCATTACGCCGTTGTTAGAGTGATTAAAGATGTTCTACAGGACGCAACCGCTGCTTACTGACACGAGAGTCAGAGAACTTTCAAATGAACGTCGGCTTCCATCAAGGATCTGTGCTACCGCCCTCCTGTTCACCAAGGTATGAAGGCGATCGTCAAAGACTCCATTTGTCAACTAACGTGGATGGTTGTGTACGCGGATGTTGTAATTCCGATGGTCAAAAGCAGGATGGAGTTCGAGGCCGATACAGAAGTGATACAGAACTGGAAGAATGAGCTGGAAACGCTTTTGAGTTTCAACACAAAGAAGACGAGTACATGGAACTTGGAACCCGGACGCCCGGAGGCATTCAAACTGAAAGACGATCTGGACGAAAATCAAAGGCAGTGACTTGGGAAAATTGCGACGGGGGCCACAACTACATGACCTTCTGTACCAGCTGAGTCAGGTACTGTGCTTGAAATGTCAAAGGTATTTTTTTTTTTGAAGTTCACCGGCCATGCAGATTGCTGGAGAGGCGGGGCGAGGGATTTCCGCCAACCAGCAAGTGACTGCTGGATACTGTTACTTCACCTATTTGGGCGCTGATGAGCCCAGGCATCAGTACGATATAGTTGACGATAATCTCTCGCCCCGCCTCTTCAGCAATCTCCAAGCGCGGGAAACGCCAAGAAAACACTTTTTTGACTTTTCAAGCACAGTACCTGACTCAGCTGGTCCAGAAGGTCATGAAGTTGTGAAAAATCCCCCACCTGCGATTTCTCCGAGCCAGTGCCTTTGGAGCAACTGCTTGTTTTAAATACTTAGGAAGCGGTATTTCCACGGATGGGAGCATCCACGACATTAACAGCAGAACATTTGCAGCTGGGTAAAGTAGAGAAGCTTCCACAAGTGCTAGGCGACAAACAAACCTTTCATAATCTGAAACCTCAGATATACCGTACCATCATCCGAACAGCCGCACTCTACGGTAGCGAATAGTGATCGTGCACACGACTGAACAACTTGAAGTAATGGAAACAAGAATGCTGAGATGGTCCGCAGGCGTCAACATTTTAGACCACGTCTCTATATTATCGCTTTTGCAAGATGTTGCGCTAAATAATACCTACCGGGAGAAGATGAGATTAAGAAAAGTTATAGGCTGCTGCATGACGAAGGCGCAGTATTATTAGCCACAGAGCACATGAGGCGCAGAATTTACAAAGGACACGCGTGGGCCTCATTCGCGCCCGTTCAACTAATACTGTTCCTGCGCCTTCGTCCTGCGTGGTAGTCTCGCCTTCACTAGTCCAAAAGAAGAAAACTGGGATAGGAGTGAAAATCTAAAGCGGAGCTGAATGCTACACATGCACGAGAGTTTGGCATTAGAGCGCGATTTCTAACAAAGCAATTTATGAATAAAAAGGCAAAAAGCAAAAGAAAGGCAATAATATGAAAATGTCTTTATGTCAGGGATTGATTTTTGACTGGAGAATCCGTGTAGGAAAAGCGCTAACTACGGTAATGCGCTATTGGCCCTGCACCCCTGCCCCCCCCCCTCTGCTAACTATATAAGAGTCCCGTCCCCAGGGAGAGAGAGAGCTAGCCGGCTCCGGCCAGCTCAGCGACAGATGATCATCCACTCATTTTCATCTTTATTTTATGTGTATCCCACTTCTTCATTACCCTCCTTCCTGCTACATATGTTCTCTGTATTTTCAAGTTTCCCTTTATTTTTAGGTCCCTACTGATATAGTTTGAACTCCATTTCACATCCTAGTTCTTTCTTGATGTACTCCATTCTGCACCCTTTGTGCTGCTCTATAATATCCTTTCTTGTCAATAAACCTTTAGTTAGAGAAAGCTGTTGCTGTAAGTAGGGAAGAATGCCCATATGAAAAGGCCCAACATTGTCGTTACTGATTCAAAGTCTTTCTTGAGTATCTCTAACAGGGGTCAAGCATTGTTGTATTACATCCGTTTGTATAAAAAAACCAAAACTTACCACGATCTCAGAGCGTCTAGCGGTCGTCTGGAAACGGACTAATTTCGGAGAAGGTATACTTCACACAAGTTTTCAGACTCTTTGCATACTTCTTGTGTAAATAATATTTATTTATTTATTTATTTGATAAAGTCGACAACAAATCATATCTTTTGAGGAGAAGAAAGTACATCCACGGTCGAGGATCTTGCTGCCTCTCAGAAATTATGTTCCCATTTTTTTAAAGGCCAGCGAGCCTACGGGCGGAGGCTAGCTGGTTATAACCCCATCAAAAAGTATTTCCAAAAGGACAACAAGACATGCAAAAACAGAGCAAGAAAAAACGAACAGAAAATCAATGAAACTTTCAGGAGGCGGATAGTTCATCCAAGAAAGGGAAGTGAGGTAGAAAAGAAACAATATATGGCTTATGGCTTATTGCAGTAGTTTTTTATGTTTTTCTTTTTTTTAAATAATGTTTTTCCTAGGGAATAGAGTAGAAGGGATAGCGTACAGTGCGATTTCCTCTTCTGTATAGAGGAACCAAAACCGGCTAGAGGTGCTGCTGTTGAGAGGACAAAGGGGCACCGACTTCTTCCACTTCTGCAATTAAAAATCAGAATGACCCTTGCGATTTTAAATATTTTTGAACTTCTCTGTTGAAAATGAAGGTGTTTCTCGAGGTAACAGCTTCCACAGGGAGATCATTCCAGGTTTTGACTACGCGCACTAAGAAGGAGTTGAAGATCTGCTTAGTTCTAACTTTTCCTATTACAACCCTGAAGTTGTGTCCTCTAGTGAAATTGTTAAAAGTTGACAGTCTGAAAAAATCTTGTATTCTCAGCTCAACTATTTCAGTCATAATTTTGAAGACTAGATCTTGGTCGTACATCACTCTTCTAAACCGAAGGGAGGTCGCGGTGAGTATGGAGAGCCTAGTTTTGTATGACAGTCGAAGCATTCCAGCCCGGGCAAGGATTCTAGATGTGAAAGATCGTTGAACTCTTTCCAAGGCATCAATTTGGGCTTTCTTGTAGGGGGACCATAGAGGACTACAATATTCCAACAGAGGCCGCACATAGGTGACGAAGAGATGGAAGAGCGTTTTGACATTCGTGGTTTTAAATGCGCGTAGTATGTAATTGCATCTGGTGTGAGCAGCATCAATTATATCTCTTACGTACTTCTCGAACTCCAACTGGCAAGAGTAAGTCACACCAAGGTCTTTGGCAGTATTCAATACTCGAAGTTGTTGTTCTCCAATACTGAATTGCCATTGGGGGGTGCATAGCCCCGACTGGCATAATGAAGGTTTTTTCAATGGAAATGTCGAGCTCCCATCTTTTGGACCACCCCTCTACTGCATTTAAGGCGCTCTGCATCAGACTAAGAGAATTATAGCAAAAAAGCTTGGTATCGTCAGCATAAATTGAGCAGAGTATATTCTGGGGAAGGCATGTCGGTAGATCATTGATATATAGCAGAAACATCACAGGACCTAGGCAAGTTCCCTGCGGCACACCGCTCGTTGTTTGGTACGTAGAAGAGAAGGATTCATTGACTTGCACCTTTTGCGTACGGTTGAGCAGAAAAGATTTCAAAAATTTGAGCAGGCATTCCTGAATGCCATACGCTCTTAGTTTTTAACACGTTTCGGACCGGTGCTGCACATGGTGCAGCACGCACCTTTGAAGGATCTTTTCAACGTTTACAGGAGGTTTTCTTTTTGTCCAAGGTTATCAAGTCAAAGGCCTAAGCTCCTACTTCTCGAAAGGGTCTGTAGAGCTGTGCCATCGATATTTGTTCGGAGATATAAGGACAAATCGAACATCAGTTGCAACGAAGTGCGGCAACGCGAACGACGCGTGCGACGTCGCAACTTTTCTCAGTATTGAATACAAAGAGAAAGATCGTAGTTTCAATAATGATGTGTATCGTGTACAACATAGATACTTTTGGATACAAATACAATTACAAATACAATACAATACAATTAGAAACTGAGTTCTTGTTCCTACTTTTAAGAAAGCACAGAACTTCTTCTAAGACGACAAAATTCAAATACTTCGAATTCACTCAGAACTCTGGGTATGGATCTTATCTGATATGCTGATAACAGATGTAGCACACAATCTACGAATTAAGATCCCTTTGTTGGCTAACGGCTGAAAGTACCCTCTTTTTCGCCGCGCGCGA